AATATTTGACTATTGCTTGATTTATATAGTAATTAAATATTTTATTTAATTGACTTACCTACTGTTCGACTGTATGTTTATTCGTATGTATGTGACGTTACGCGATATCTTCGTCAATTAAAAACAATATGTAAAGCGATTTTGAAATGTTTTTAATTAAAAATGGCTTACTTCGAGTGTGGTCCTATATTAATAATGAGAAATAAAAAAAAATCCACCCTATAGTTACTATATTATAAATCGACATGGAGATTGTTATATTCCTTATTACTACTCAAAAGGGTAAAAATAAGAACTTTTAATAAAAAGTAGAGCGAACTTCAAACAGCTGAAAATAATAAAATGATTTCCAACACCGACGACAGAATGTGAAAAAATTTCAACTTAGAATTACTACATCCGCTCAATGAAATAAAATGATGTCTCTTTCCTAGTTTGAAGGGACACATCATTTTTTTCATTGAACTAGTATGGGCCAAGTAATTTTTACCAAGTTTAATATAATGGATTTCCGCAAAGTAATGCCTGATTCTTTTATTTACTATAGAAATTAATTTATTATTTTTAGTTCTTTGAAGGCGAATTTAGCTTTTTATAAACGTTAATTTTTTGAAATTTATTAAATACTTCAATTATTAAATATACATGCATGAGGATGCGTATCTCTTTAGTTATTTTGATGATACACATTTTTGCACGTATAACAAGATCGCAAATATTTCAGGGGATTCCATCCGAAATCATCATATTGCTTTATCTTTTGCTGCCGCAAAGGAACAATGCAATGCACCTACTATTGTATTCCGGTTGGAGGGCAAACGTTTGGACCGTTATTCTTTGTTATTGGACATATCATTACATAAGTGTAATAACCTCTTCATTGTTAAGAGTTGGCTGAAGGTGTTAATGAACTTACAGTAGCAGCTTACGATTAGGTGGGCTGCGATCTACTTTGTCATTTTAATGTGATAAGCAATCGCTATTTAGGCGTGCCCCTAATATATAAACATGACGTTTTAAATTGATTAGAAATTTATCCAGACCGTACGCATCGTTCGCACCGTACACGCCACATTCCAGAATTCCTTCTTCAGAATTATTCCACTCGCAGCATTCCAGAACTATCGGTGCGTACGATGTACACAAAATATGCGATCACAATGAATTTCTTAAAGCATATTAAATGAAATTCTTTCTTCTGCAAAATATATAATAGAGGTGCCATAGCAACAATTTATATAACTTTGTGTATTAATAAACCTCATTATTGTGCTTTAAAAATTATTTAATGCTATTATGTAGATGTTTTATACGTGGTAGAGCCATGCTGTATTGGATCAAGTCGACCAGGGAAGGACCACGCTCTCACAGAAAACCAGCGTAAAATAGTAGCTTAATTCCGCTGTGTTTTGTATTCGTGCAGAGAACCGGAAACCCTTTTTACTGGAAATAAGGCATTCCATCTTTGTCATCAGAGTTGAGAACGAATCTGCATTTTTTTTAATTAAAATAAATGCAGATATCTATGAGCCACAGCATCCATTTACCATCAGATGGACTGTGTGCTCGTATGTCACTTTTATTCTATAAAAAGCAAATGAGAGCCCCCTTAATATCGTATTTACGGTTAAAAGATTACTTTCAATAGAATTTTAAAGATTGTAATTGTACACAGTTTTTTTTTTAATTTTACAATACTGAGATATTAAAAATTAAAATAAGTATGAATCTTACAATAACCTAAAAACAAACTTAAAGCGATTATCTAGTACTTCTCACTGGTATTACAAGTTAAAATAGTGCACTGTTTAATAATTAATAGTATAAAACAAAGTTGCAGGTACATTCAGGAATCGTAGGTACTTCAAGATCGATGCAAAATTCTTTTAGCAGTTCCAACAAAATATAGTGCCTGCCTGTGTACAAATGTTGTATGAATAGCATCAATCACTAATAATTTTTCCGAATAGTCTTCAACAGATTTGACAGCATAAATGCATTATGTTTAACACTTGTGCATCGATTAGACAATAAATATTGGTATTTAGTGTCTAATCGATGCACAACACCTATTTTTGGTATCAAAATTAATATATATATATATATATATATATATATATATATATATATATATATATATATATATATATATATATATTTATATATATATATATATATATTATTTAGAGTAAAAGAATGGTTTTGAAACATTATATTCATTTCTATGAATCGATCCAAAAACCTATGGAATCGAATTGATTCAAGAACTAGCGATACATTTTAATTTTTTACTGTTGTCGGACGTAAAAACAACGGGCCGGGTTATACTTGGTTATCAAGTAATACTGTACGTGGTAGAGCCATGCTGCAGTTATATTAGAAGTATAGTTGCAGCACATATGGGTCGGCTCGACCGGGGAAGGACCACGCTCTCACAGAATACCAGCGCAAGCTGTGTTTCGTATGGTGAGTGTAGAGAACCGGTGAGCCTTTTTACTGGAAACGAGACATTCCATATTAGTCCTCACGGATGATAACGCATCTGGATTTTGATTCGTAATCGAGGATAAATGTAGATGTCTATGGGCCACAGCAACCACTTACCATCAGGTGGACTGTGTGCTCGTTTGTTACCCTGTCCTATAGAAAAACACGGTTTGAACACAACAAATATATATATAATTAATGAAAGCATCCAAAGATGTCGTTACTTACGTTTTTTATATAGAATAAGGATAATGATTTCTTAAATTTACGCGAACACTACACATTGAATAAAACTATTATTTACGGATTTTATCGCGTTTAATTACTTTAATTTATTTTTATTATTATCCCGACGTTTCGGGTGCTTTACAGCGCCCATGGTCACGGGGGGGACTGAGATGTTTGACGTCCCAATGTCATAGTTAGTCCGGCTACCTTCAGTTTTTTAATATTAATTTTTGGTCCGATTTACGCAAAACGAGCTTATAGTATCATGAAGTCTTGCAGTGGTATGCTTGGGTTTGGGTTTAATTTTGTTAATTATAGGATCCCAAGCAGATGGTATGGTTGTATAAGCTAGATTGTGAATGTGGTCTCTCTTACATAGGTCAAACAAAGAGATCTATAAAAACCCGCGTGAAGGAACATATAGCTGATGTGAAGCACCGACGCTCCGGGAAGTCTGCAGTCTGCGAACATGTTCAAGATCGTCCCCACCATTACATTAGATTTGATAAACCACAAATTCTCGCAAAAGAACACCGATTCCTACCAAGGATGATACGCGAAGCTATTGAAATTAAAAAACATCCAAATTTCAATAGAGAAGATGGTTGGGTGCTACCATCTGCTTGGGATCCTATAATTAACAAAATTAAACCCAAACCCAAGCATACCACTGCAAGACTTCATGATACTATAAGCTCGTTTTGCGTAAATCGGACCAAAAATTAATATTAAAAAACTGAAGGTAGCCGGACTAACTATGACATTGGGACGTCAAACATCTCAGTCCCCCCCGTGACCATGGGCGCTGTAAAGCACCCGAAACGTCGGGATAATAATAAAAATAAATTAAAGTAATTAAACGCGATAAAATCCGTAAATAATAGTTTTATAGAATAAGGATGTCAAATGAGCACAGTTCACCTGACGGTAAGTGATTGCTGTGGCTTATAGATATCTTCACTCATCCCCGATTAAGAACTAAAATGTAGATGCGTTGTCACCCCTGAGGGCTAAGAGCGAATGCCCCGTTTTCAGGAAAAGGTTCTCCAGTTCTCTACACTCACCATAGGAAACACCTTACTATACATATAAACGCTATAGGCTGCTATTTTACGCTGTTATTCTGTGAGAGCGTGGTCCTCCTCCGACCAAGCCGATCCATTCGTGCCACAACTAATACAAGTGCATCGTGGCTCCACCACTTACTAAAAAAAAGTTGTCACTTGTCACTGACCTTTCTAATCTAATCCGTGGATACCGGCGTGTTACCTAATCGGCGCCGTGAATTTACTTTATTTATCAAAAATATTCTGTGAGTAAATATTATATTATGTTGAAATTTATAGTAACAAAACACAGTGTGAGTTCGTGTAGTATTTACTTCAGTTTAATTTATCGATTGTATGTTGTAGTTTGCACTTTTGTTAAAGTATTGTTGTTACTTTAAGTATTACTGCGCATGTTTGAAAATATCGTAATTAATCGAAAATCGATCCTTTAAAGAATCGCTTTTTTTTTTAAAAGTAAATCAACATGCCTACTCGAAAGTCAATCACAAAATAGCGTTTCGTTCCACGGTCACCTTGAAACATGTGATATGATGTTAGCTAACACTTCCAGAAATAGGATTTAAGCACGAAGTTCTCTGTGGTATCTCTTTTTAGTAATAAATGTGTAATATACAAAATATAAATATATGTATTTGACAAGTAATCTCTGTAAAAAAAATCTTTTTATAAAAAATGCCAAAGTGATTCCTTACACACGTTTTTTTCCATATTACATTATCCAGAACATTGATTGATTGATTGATTCTATTTAGATTTTCAAAAAACCTTTAGGCTATTTACTATAAAAAATTGGTATCTTTTTTTGTGAAATGTAAAATTTCCCATGAAGATTTATTAATATTTTTGAGTGGGCCTAAAAACGATTGTCTCCTTTACAAATTTATTCGTAATACAATAATCTACTAATAATGGAACTAATCCTTTCGTGAGACTGTAAATAACGAATTGCTCATAAAATTCTATTCATTAATCATAGTATAAATAAATATTATGAACCACAAAGCATATTGCTAACTAAACAAAGGATGAATGTGAAGAAATTTGAACCTTATGCCAACATCAAAAATACTTATTTTTGCTTTCCCTTTTTTTGTATTACGTACACATTTTTGTTAATAAGTGTTTTTAATAAAAAAACAGTATTAAAGATAATATTACGTATAAATATTCATTCAAGGTTAAAGTAACGATTATTATTCTAACATTTGTTGAAACATGATGTTGTGGATATCGTACGTGGTTACTTTAGTTGCTTGTGCTTCGACTTTTTCAAAAACTGAGCAAGTTGCAAGCCACAGTCCTTATTTTACAGTAAGTAAGCGAAAATATTTCTCTGTGTAAAATTAACAATATTATATTTCTCCGAACACTTACCAGTAGTAGGGATTGTAGTCAAGCATTTGGCAATAGTCTTTATGGCCTACTAGATAAGTCATCGAATGGGTCGGCTCGTCCGGGGAAGGGCCACGCTCTCACAGAATACCAGCGTAAAATAGCAGCTTAATGCGGCTGCTTTTCGTGTGGGGAGTGTAGAGAACCGGAGACCCGTTTTACTGGGATCGAGGCATTCCATCTTAGTCCTCAATGGTGATAACGCATCTGCATTTTGATTCTTAACCTTTCAAATTTCAATGGATCCGACCAAGGCGATGTTCAGTCAAAATTCAAGCGGTCGGATGCGACCGCGCCCACCCACTGTAACCCATAAATACTTATGTTTAGAGACTACTTTTCTATGAAGGAGTTTGGCATTATAGAATCTATACGAAATTTTCTATCCTGTGAGCTAAACAAAAGTAAGTTACTCTACGTATTTTTATTCTACTGTTTTATTCTACTGTCAGTTTACGACATTTGCCGACCGTACGAAAATGGCAAAATTTTACGGTAGATCAAAAATAAAAATCCATAGAGTAATAGATTTGTTTAGAGTATATGATAGAGAATTTTGTATAGATTCTATAATGCCAAACTTCTTTTTAGAAAAGTAGTCTATACATATAAATTTTTATAGTTTAAAGTGCTGTGTTTTAGGTTCAATACGTCTTATATAGACAGTAGAATAAAAATAAAAATACATAGAGTACCTGACTTTTGTTTAGACCACAGGATAATGAATTTTGTATTAATTTTATAATGCTAAACTTCTTCATAGAAAAGTCTCTAAATATAAGTTTTAATGGTTTAAAGTGCTGGGTGGGTGCGGTCGCAAGCGACCGCTCGGAATTTGACGGACGCATGAGACTGCATGGGAATTTTATGGAGATTGAAGAGTTAGTCGGGATTAAACGTAGATGCCTATGGACCACAGCATCCACTTATCATCAGGTGGACTATATGCTTGTTTGTCACCCTTTTCCTATAAAAAAGCTATACGTCGGTAACGATTACAATGCATTATGTATGCATGAAATAATGACTTCATCTAAACTATACTCTTTGTCTTTACAGATGTCATTTGTTATATCCCTAATAACGGTCATGTTATTAAGCGTTCGATATCGTAATATGAACATATGTGTGCTATGAAAGGAAAGTAGGTTTATTATTATGTTTTATATGGGTAACATATTAAAAGTTTTATTTATTATTAGCGAGCCGCCCCGCCGTCGCCTGAATGGCATCTATACGTGATAATCAATTTCAAGTTCAACCATTTCGAAGATTTTTCCGGTCAGACATACAATGATAAACCTTTAATAAATTGGTTATTTAAAGACTTTAAATTTATACATTATATAGATTTCGAGTTACTACACGTCTCTTCATTAATTTGAAATATATTATAATATATACCTATACCTAACATGGGATATGGCAAATAAATTTTAACGACCGTGATATCCGCCAATAATAAATAAATATATAGATAATAAATTATGTGCGGCACGACAGTACTCAGGCACGTTTAAGTAGTAATCATCAATAATTATAAATATAACAATATCGGGGTTTTATTTATAAGTTTATATATGGATAATATTTTAAAAATATCAGCAGTTTTAGTTTGAACTGATCAGTTGGAATGATCAGTTGAACTGACCGTATGTGGCGACCATTACAGAATACAAGCGTGAAATAGCCCCATAATTCTTCCGCCAAACCAATAAATATAGGTTAGTGTTTTTACACTAACCTGCATTTACAAATAGTCCATAACTAAACTCATTTCACTGGCTACGGTCTACACCATGTCAGTACTCAGCGTTTACAACGCATCTGCATATTAATTCTTAGTCATTGATAGTTGTGGCTATGCACCACAATATCAATTTGCTATATAGATGGATTGTGTGCTCGTTTATCACCTCACATCTAGATAAAAATCGAACTAATAAGGTATTTTTAGGTACAAAACATACAATCAGAAGGATATCATGCAGAAGCCCATCACGCAGTGACCAATGACGGGTACAAACTAGAAATGCATAGAATACCGTACAGGAGATACGAGAATAAAGGCGAAGTTAATAGACCAATCGTCTTTTGCATGCATGGTCTACTTGCCTCTTCGAACTCCTACATCTACTTAGGCCCTCAATACAGCATGGGTAAAATCTATATTCATAAGTAATATTTTTTTAAACAAATATTTCACTATTTATGTTGTAATTTACAATATACAAAAGCTCTATGCGGTACCTTACTTGAACTTGAATATGGATAGGACAATTTAAACAAGAAAGTATTTCAAATTTTGCATGCGACTTGTGCAAAAATCTCCTTAAGAGCGTAGTGGAATAATAAGTATTTTTAATTTATTTTTGAGTTATAACTTGAAGTTATAAATATAGGGTATATTGATATAGTAGTATATATTCAGTTATATAGATATAGAGAACCAATATAATTACAGGCAATTTACAATACTATAAAAGCTATAAGGCATTCCATCTTAGTCCTCATACGTGACAACGCATCAGTAACGTTTTTATTTGAAGTTGGGTTGCAGTACCCACTTCATATCAGTTTTATATGAAGTTATAATAAATACATAAATAAAGCCCAACCAGATGGAAGCCCTCGGCAGGGGAGACCAAACGGCCGAGGGTTAGGAGGAAAGGGAAAGAAACCGACAATGCGGGCGGTATCGAGGAGCACCGCCTTCTGCATTTGAGCCCGGAGCAGTGAGTCATGGAGTCCCAGTCGCTTCAGATGACCCGAGAGGCTGACTGGGATTATCCCGTTTGCAGAAACGACTACAGGTATAATTTCGGTCGACAGCCCACCCCCCATGTCGGTCACCTCGTGAGCCAGGTCCAGATATTTTGTTCGCTTATCTCTTTCGACTTTCACGAGGTTCTCGTCATACGGAATGGTAATGTCAACCAAAAATATCGTTGACTGTGCCCGGTCCATCAGCACAATATCAGGCTTATTCGCAAGAAGATGATGGCCCGGTCCCAGTAGAGCCAGGCGCGGTCATTTTCGAGCACGGCTTCCGGCAAGTAATTGTAATACGGCAATTTCCAGTCCACGAGAGTTACCAACTTAATAAAAGTTAGTACTCAAGCGCCGAAAACCCGGAGATGACATGCCTAAGTGACTCGCCGGGATGGCGACAAGCTTGACAGGTGCCATCTTTTAAGATGTATCTCCGATAACTGTTGGTGTTAAAAACCTGATCCTGTATCGCACAGACAAATTCCTCGGTTTCCCCGAAGAGGTCACCGAAACGTAGCCAGTTAAGGAAGGCGACTGTGTCTACGAAAGGTTCATGTAGAGCCCTGTAGAACCTCCCGTGGAGCTCCTTCTCCTTCCATACAGTCTCCCGGTCGGAAATGCTCAGTACTGCCGGGTCTTGCCATTGCTCGTTGGCCAAGGATAGAGGGGTAAACCCATTATCACAACAAATGACGTCCCTATAGAATGGATCACCCGATCTCGTCAGAAAGTAATTACGGAGGCTGCACACTTCACGATTATGCATGATAAGCGCGCTTAAAAAGCCATGCCCACCATATTTCCGCGGCAAGTACAGGCACAGAGGACAGGCATGACCCAACCGTTATATGCGTGTGTCTTATTCACACCAGACAAAAGGCTGTTAAGCACTTTGGTCAAGCGTGCATAAAACACGTCGCAAACCGACTGCTTTATACCAGCCTCATCGATACCGATGTTCTGTGACATACCCAGGTATCGGTTTGTATAATTCTCGGAAAGGGTCTTTAAGTTGACGGACATAGATAAATCTATGCCCTGAGATTTAGCAACCCTTCCCCTTTCAACATGGAGGACCGCACACTTATCCGTTCCCAGCTCCATTCTAATAGAATTGCTAAAATCACAAGTGATGAAATAATACTAGTTTTTACGGATTTTATCGCGCATATTTAACTTTTTAAATACCCGACGGTTCGAGAGCTTTACAGCACTCATGGTCATGGGGGGGACTGAGTTGTTCAACGTCCAGATGTTATAGTTAACATCGGTTACCTTAATCTATGGTCACCGATGTTAACTTTTGTTCCGATCTACACAGTATGAACTTATGGTATCTTGAAGTCTTGCAGTTGTATGCTTGGGTTGAATTAATTTTATTTATTATAGGATCCCAAGCAAATGGTATCACGCCGCCATCTTCTCTATTGAAATTAGGATGTTTTTTGATTTCAATAGCCTTGCGAATCCTTAATTTGTGGTAAAATTACACAAAAAAGTATTTTTCCGATTTCAAACTAACCGTGACGTATATCGATGTATAGATATAGAACATTTTTTTCAACTACAAAATTTAGTTTGTCCTTCAATCCTGCTTATCTTTTCAACACAGTAATGTTCGGCGCTTTCACAGTTTATGAACTTCGATAGAAAATGTTAATTATGTTGGTAAAAGTAGCCGCATAATAATACCGCAGACAGAGCATACCGATCCTGTAAATGCCAACTCGCCCTCGCCTTAAAGATACCAATATTGCAGTTATACATTTCGGGTAGAAACTCAAAACATACTCGGAAAATATCAAGACTCGGTACCCGTAATGGACCAACTATATAACGTTGTACGGAACCTTCGGTGCACGAGTCAGACTCGCACTTGTCACAAATTAAACTTATTTTTTTAATTTTAACATTTGCAAGATAGTGACAAATTATCAAATAATTAGAACTAATCAATTTTATATTTATAAAATTAGTCATATTTTAAAAGCGTAGGTATATCCACATTAAAAAGGGAGTTATGATTTCATAACAATTAATAATGAAGGATTGCAAAAGCAACATTATAAAGATTGAAATTTTATACAGGTTACCACTTAGCGGATGCTGGGTACGATGTGTGGATAGGCAACGCAAGAGGCACGAAAAATTCCCGCCACCATATAACTCTGGACCCTGATAGTTCCACCGAAAAGTTTCCGTTCTTCGACTTCAGTTTTGAAGAGATCGGCATGTACGACATCGCTACCATGGTCGACTATGTACTAAACTACACAGGGCGACCAAAACTGCACTATATTGGGTACTCACAAGGAGGAACAACATTCCTAGTACTTAATAGTATGAGACCAGAATACAACGAAAAATTCATATCAGCTCATTTATTAGCATGTGTGGGCTATCAGAACCACTTCCCAAGTTCACAAATAGCAAGGTTGTCACGACTAACTGACAGTCTTTACGTAAGTATCAAAATAATATTTCATTTAATATAAGGTTCTATGAATAAATAAGAGTAATCGAAGGTTCAGAATAGAATGTAGGCGAATGGTAAAAAAAAATCTCAAACATTCTCACCTTTTTACCTTTTAAATTCAGAATGTCTGGTAATGCATTAACAGATTTTCATTCACAAACATCTAACGCTTACTATTTTACTACGCACGTTGTGGATTTAATCGCATACAGAGGAGCGTTGCTGCCCATAAATCTCATTCGTTTTGGGACAATTTCAAATAAAAGTAGAAGCTACATTTACTCATATTTTCAAAAACTGCAATAACTTTATGATAGATTTTGTAAAAAGTAAAAAAGAAATATTGATTTCTGTTTATAAAATTGCATTATAAATTTTAAATTTCCATATTAAGATTTCTTTTCGTCTGTTCCTCAAATCTGCAAAACGCTGTCGGCCATATTAGATCCTGTCGTGACGTCACTGATCCAGCCTAAGAATATTAGTGTTCTGTGTCACTGATTAAGAGAACTAAACTCTGATTTTTCATTCCGTAGAATTCTGACAGCTATCATTTTTTGACATGTCAGAGATTACAAACCTTTTTGGCCGGGCACATTTTTCAATTTCAATACGTGTCTGAACATCTGAGTCTATACATACATTTTATTTGTTAGTAAATGTATCCATTTTATTAAGTGCGGTACTCTACATGGTTTTACGGCGAGTGATAATTACGTCCCTTTTCATTACAAACAGTAAAAAATGCACAAGTAAAAATAACATATTTTTATTAAAATCTTTAGTCATCATTAATACTTATATCACTATCTTCATCATCGTCATCATCGCTGACATGAATTATTAAAGAGTCTGCGACTGTGTCAATGAAATCGTCGAGAGTGCACATCTTATCTTCTTCTTTGATTGTATGGCTGATACATTCTTGCCATTTATCAGGAGTAATACTACTTATACTTTCCAGTAATAGTTTTTTAACTTCCGCCATTTTAAAACTTCTGTTGTGTCTTGCGACATGCCCCTTCACTTGAGCCCACACCAATTCAATAGGGTTGAGCTCACAATGATATGGGGGCAGTCTAAGCACAGTAATGCCTTGTGCTGTGGCCATCTCGTCTACAATACACTGTTGATATTTGTATTTCTCCTGACCCACAATTTCCAATAAATTAACTTTTAGCATTTTTTCTTCAAAATTTAAATTTTTTGAAGTCAACCACGCTTGGATATCGCCTTTTCTCCATGCACTCGTTGGTACTTTTTCGACCTTCCTCGAATGATAGGGAGCATTATCCAACACTACTACCGAGTTTGGTTTTAATTTTGGAAGTATTTTTGTGAACCACTCCTCAAATACTTCCCCAGTCATCTCCTTGTGGTAATCTGCCAAGCCTTTTTTTGCCTCAAAAACTAATAAACCATCTTCCAAAAATCCTTCTTCGCTCCCTATATGGCTAACTATAAGTCGCCCCCCCTTTGCCTGTTGGTGCCTTAAGCCCTGTTGTCAAGCCATCGAGGAAAGCTTGTCGTGAAGATTGAATGTTGGTATCACACCACACTTTATTGACGGTATGTCCTGAAAATAAAAATATATTTAATATTTCACTTATACATGAGGACAGTTATATATGCATATAAATTGAAAAATATTACCTGTAAACATGGATTTCTTTATTTATTTATTCATTTTGGTAACAAAAATTTATTAACAAAGTTAATTTAAGTATTACATAAGTACAGAATTCGATTTCCGACTAATACTTTGAAGAAAAGATAGGTTATAAAAAGTTAATTACCACATAATTCAATACTTGCCTTCGTTTACCCACGTTTCATCCTGGTAATATATAAGCCTGCCTTCTCTTCTATATTGTTTAATTTGGTGCAAGTATTTTTGACGCCATAGTACTATCTCCTTGCGATCTGTTAGCGCACTTCGACGTTTGCGACTTGTGTATTTAAAATTTAAATGCTTCAATACTTTTCTTAATGTTGATTTCGACATAACAGGCATGTCTGGATCACCAGTTATCTCTTGGTGAATCTGAAATAAGCATTTACATTACAGTTAAAATGTAGACAGGCAACACAGGTTAAAGTATAGTTTTAAAACAATGGGGGATGTCAGCAACGAGGTGTTAAAGAATTAGCAATAACTTTACCTTTTCAATAGTCGGAATCTCGTTCCTGTAGAAAAACGCGTGAACCTTTCGTCGAGTTGCGGCGAAAGTGAATTCGTCAAATTTTTGTATGAAAGATAGTTGAGGTCCACTCTTTTTCGGCTTTTGAAATTCTTTTGTGTCTTTATATTCTTTGGTAATTTTATAGACACTTGACAGACCCACGCCAGTCATCTCAGAAGTCTTTTTAGCACATTCCGTTGCACTCCAATCAGTTGTTTGCGGCCAATTTTCTATATTATATTTGTAAATATTTAGAATTATGGTCTTTTCGTTGGGCGTAAAAGCACCACGAGGACGCTTCTTTCTGGGAGAAAGAAAGTCTAAGCCTTGTGCTCTGTCAGATGGGGCTGCTTCCCGGGAAGGGCCAGGTTGTGGCTCCATAACGTTTATAAAAATCAACAAACGATCACAAAACGAAAGGTCAACAAGAAAAAACTTAACAGAATAACAGAAACTTAACAAATATAACAAGATAATAACAACAAATAGCAGCAAACACCGAGAACACATGCGCATTCGAGCATTCAAAGAAGTCGAATGAAAATCAATCAATGTGACAGACGCGACGTGACAGCTAACATTTTTTTAAAAGGTTTTTTAAACCTGGAATTAGTAGACAGTGATGCCAGCTAAAGAATAAAATATTAAGTAATTAAAGTTAATTAGATATATTGTTCGTGATATTGAAATATTTGTTATTTTTGTATTAGGTGACTTGTATAAGTAAATATTTAGATTTACCTTTTTGTAGGTGAAACATAAAAAATACGTAGCATTTTATTATTTATTGCCCTCAAATGGTTCAAATTTGTCTCTTTTTCGGTGGAGAACTTTTTTTAGTAGCAACACTTACGAAATGTCAGAATTCTACGGAATGAAAAATCAGAGTTTAGCTAACGTGCTGTGTTATTTCGAAATTTTTAAGTTTTTTTGAGTTTTATGCCGAATTTTATTGAAAAGGCATCATGGAAGACGAATTCGTAAAAACAGAAAGTACTAATTCTACGAAGGATAAATAAATTGATGGTGGCAAAATTTTTGCCATGCAATACCAATTTTTGTTCTGCCGAGTTGAGGAATGTTAAAACATCAGTGTAAGTACCTTTTACCAACTTTTGTTTACAGAAAAACACAATACCAGGTCAGAACGTATTTTGATAAAGCATAGTTTAGTAGCTATCATAGTTTAGTTTATCTATAATTACAATCATTAGCAATCATTAGTTATAATATCTAAGTTAACGTAATTTATTACAAAATTTGACTTGCGATACCTTTCACCTCATGATGTTTTGTCTTGTATTAAACGATAGTAAATATAAATCATACTTACATCAAAATTATATTCACAAAAGTATAGTTTAGATTTTGTACACAATGCCTTCGGGTCTCTTCTTGCCAGTTTTAACCAAATATTTCTCATATTTAAATCAGTTGGCGTTTTAATCCATAACATTCCCGGCGTTCTTATGCTCGTATTTTTGCATTCTGGTACATCACAATAATGATATATATATATATATATATATATATATATATATATATATATATATATATATATATATAGATGATAACTCATTATTAAACATTAAAAAGTATATTATTCTTTTGCAAAATCTTCAAAAAGAGTTGAACAACATGGCGGCTAGCGTTTTCAGGCGCAAATTTAAAACGATAGATTAAAAGTAATTTTTATGGCACTATTTGGTTTAAAAAAAATATATAAAAATTATAGTGGTTCGTTATCACTCTAAGATTCATTTAAAACAATTTTTGAAAATGGGTAAAATACCCTATTGTTCGGACTAATTCCAGCCGCACAGTTTCACAATCGCACATCGCGACAAAACTCGCGATACATTCATACCATCTGGATGACTAGCTGTCCACCACTAAGCGATTTAAAAGAAGTTTTTTTCATCGCACAAGTTCCTTGTGGAATAAACTACCACCAGAGATTTTTCCGGACCAATACGACTTAGGGACCTTCAAGAAAAGAGCCTATTCTTTTTTAAAAGGCCGGCAACACATCTGCAATCCCCCTGGTGTTGTAGCTGTTCATGAGTGGTGGTAATCACTTACCATCAGGTGAGCCGTATGCACGTTTGCCCCTCTCCTATAAAAATAATCAACACTGTAGCTAGTCTATCAACACTATAAAAACTATCATCACGCACACTTTATCAAGAATAGGCCTGTCCGTGACTGTAGTTCCTGGCTGTAGACTGCAGTAATTATGCAATAATATAGCAGTCTTCAATCCACGAAAGCGTATTTCAGAGCGCAATTCTGATCCTATCCACTATGCTGTACCTGTGTAGAGTCGGAGTTCAAAAGCTCTCTATATGTTTGATTCCTTGGCGTGTTGAAAACTTTCTAAAGAATTCAGGATATTATCATTTATTATTTTTCTTTTGCAGTCCTTAACCCTATCAATGGGTTTGGTAGAACTATTTTCTCCAAATTCAAGTTCAACTACGGATAAAAATGTTAATAACAGCAGTTTTGATCTCTGCTCCAACTATGCATCTTTTCAAAGTATGTGTAAAATGGTAGTCGATAACATACAACTGGTAAGTTACTAAGACATAAATAGTTATAAAAATCAAACCATATACGAGCGCAATAATTCATTGATGTAGAATTCACCAACCCGACAAGGTTGGGTTTTGTGTATATCCTAAAATCCAATTAAATAAAAAAATTAAATGATTTTGAATCTTGAAGTTTGCTAGAGATGTCGAAATATTTCATGGTACGCCAGAGTTTTTGTTGATTTGACAAACTGGTAAGACGTGCGGAAATTTATGAATACAGGGGGTTCCGCTCCGTGCTTTGTGGTACTCTATTACTAATAAGTACGCCTCCACAATACACGAAAAATTCTTAGTTTTAAAGAGAAGAAAGAAAAGAAAAAGCAGCAGTGTAGATTTGCTGCAATAAAATATAAAGAAGAAAGAAACACCATAATTAACCGTTACTACAAATACACACAAAAGGGCCTTAACAACTAAGCAACATCTATTATTTATCTACAAGAAAGAATTACTCTATGAAACAAAGTTCAATTTGAATTACATCAAATAAAAGTCTACTGATATAGCAACAGAGTTACTGAACCGCTGATGTTTTGTCGAAGCCAAATAAACGACTCGCGAGATATCGCTGATGATTATGCTAATAATAAATATTTATGTTCGCCTTAAAATACTCAGACCGTTGCAATGTCGAGATGTAATTTCAGTGATCGCCAATTCACATGTTACGAAAAACAAAGGTTCGAAGCCAGATATAGACTATATTCGACAGTAATTATGATAATGAATAATAAAGAAACGTTCTAGAAGTACACCATTTCAATAAACATTGAAAATTTCTTTACCCTCAAATATTTTTTTCGTAATGTTAAAGATGTTAAAAATTATTTTGCTACGAAACGCGTAATAAAATGAAATTATGTGTCTTACCTTTTTTGGGGAGCACCTCCCGCCCTCCCTCAATTGCGTGCACTATCCCAACACTATTACTCCTAAAACCAATACACTAAGTTAGGCCGTGGAAAGAAAAGAGGAGATCTCCCACCGGGTAAGGTGTTCAGACCGTAGAGCGGCCAACGCTCTGTGTAATAGTACAAAGCTGTTCTATATTATGTTCTATGTTCGTAACTTTACGAGCGTGATTAAGGCTTCTGTGCGTTTCGCTTGTGACGCAACGACACCGCCGCCACCCTAAGAAAGACACATCACCCGCAAGATGTAGTGTTATGCTTACATACATACTTACATATCATTTTACACTATTTTATTTTTATTTTTCCATTCTGTTTTTGATTTTCTACATTCACCTCAAAACTGGATATTTTGCATCACCTTTATTTCCATAGGATCCTGTAATATTTTTAATTCATAAGAACACAATAACAAATCATTTTCACTTCGTATTTTCACGTTATCAGCACTTTTTAAATCGGTGTCAATGGAGTCTACCTTTTTCGATCTTTTATTTAGTTCTCCGTAACTCTACAATTTCGGGTTTCGTGCGCGCTCTTGCGCTACCTTTTTTCCTATATAAATAATATCTCATTTTTCACTTAAATCTTGCCGTTTCTGTATTACGAGCTTAAAACCAAAATTTGACATGTTTTGACATCGTTGTTTATCTGGTTGTCGTGGCAATTTTTATTCAAATATTGTTACCGGCCTGATGTTTTTACTTCAAAAATACTCTTTTCTTCTTGGCCATTTACAAAAATTTGCTTTTAATTTAAATAATTTCAAATAATTTCTCGTTCTTATCCCAGATCCGTCAAAAAGTATAAAAGCCGAAGAATCGGCCGATAGAGGTCCTCACTTCAGCTTTGATACGAGAAGCACCTCTTAAAGGCTTTATCCGCACTGCCTCGGGATCTTGCAAGCCTTCTCCTGAAGTCGTCGCCTAGCCACGCCTACGCCTCCACCTATTAGTGCCCGCGCTATCTTCGGCCGCTGAGCGTGTTTGTCTCAAGCGCTGCGTGTTCCTACTCCAGACGCTGCGTGTCTACTCCGGACGCTGTGTGTGTCTACTCCGGACGTTGTGTTTGCCTACTTCAAGCGCCACGTGTACCTACTCCAGACGCTGCGTGTCTACTCCGGGTGCTGCGTGTATCTGCTCCGGGCGTTGCGTGGGCCTACTCCAAGCGCTGCGTGTACCTTCTCCAGACGCTGCATGTGCTTTCTCCAGATTCTGCGTGTGTACCTAGAGCAGGCGCTGCGCACCTATCATAGGCATAGCCTGTGCATACTTCGTTGCAGTATCTTTATTTTTGTTATTTTTTTTTAATAATATTGTAAATCACTATCATCATTACAGCCCATCATCACCTTCATACCTTTTTTTTATAAAAGAAACTGTAAATCTTTTCAAATTTTTAAATAATTTATTTTATTTTTTGGTTGTTTTGTTGTAGTTAGGTTAGGTTATTTAGTTTTTAATTGTCGCTTTACGACAAAATATTTTAAAGATGTGTGACATTTCCTTGCCCTAACACTCTCTCAGAAATGAGAGGAGGCGTGTGCCCAGCTGTGGGACGTATATAGGCTGTAACTTTAACTTTTTTAGTGACCTTGATATGAGAGACAAGTGACATCACCCACAAAACTAAGCGGATGCAAAGTAAGATTTTTAGTTAGCAATTACCATATAATTTAGTTTTGCATTGTCTTCAACGTTTTCATGATACCATGTGACTCGGCATTAATTCCTTAGAAAGAGTCACTCCAATAATACGTAGGCGGCTCTATAGATGTTTCAAATGCTAATACCATTGTTAGAAAGCTAATGACTTTTACTTTATAACACGTACTGTCTGTGTTAAGGTGAATACACTGCCTTATATTTACTGAAACATCTGCCATTTATGTTTGGTTATAACCTATCCATGTTTATAGAAATATCAATCTATTTCGGTGATTTAATCTTAGTTTTCTTAATTTCTATTAATCTAATGTACAAATTTTAATGTTTATTTGTTCGTATTTTATGTGTACCGTTCATCGGATTGCGATAAAACTTTATAAACTTATTGCTTGCACTTGCGTGAAGATTATAGGCATAGTACAATTAACTAACGACAATTTGGCGCCCGACGTAAAAGTTCTTCTTTTCTTCACCTTAGCTACGCCTTATCCATTTCCTTTTGATTGAATTGCTTTCTCTTTCGTTCTTAACTCTTTATTTACTCATCCTTATCATATCTTCCAAATTCTAAAACAAAACTTCATCTAGTTTTTCAACTTATCTGGATTATATTTAGACCTACATATAACACTTACATTCATCACCTTAATATTTTTATTCTAGAGAACTTAAAGAGGTACTATCTTCCAAATTCTAAAACAAAACTTCATCTAGTTTTTCAACTTATCTGGATTATATTTGGACCTGCATATAACACTTCACTTACATTCATCACTTTTATATTTTTATTCTAGATAACTTAAAGAGGTACAATTTTTAATTACATTTTTATTTCTTAAACTTAACTTTGCACTTAATTATAACAATGAAAAGGGTTATTAAGTACGAATTCCTTAAAATACGAAGTGAAGATTAGATGTGAGGAACCAGCTAATACTGTTTTGCATGACACTACATTTGTATATATGTTTGTATATTTGTATATGTGTTTGTATATTTGTATATGTGTTTGTATATATGTATAATTATTACCTGATTAATTTCTTTATCTTTATCTTCACTCAGGAGCGGATTACAACTCCTTAAATAAGCCTGAATGTACTTTTAGTGATGTTGCTCATCTCTGGCTTTGAGCCCTACCGCTCTGGCCGTTCTTAATCTTTACTTAAGTCATAGCGGCTAAAGCTTGCTTAAGATTAATTTCTTTAACTTTATCTTCACTCAGGAGCGGATGACAACTCCTTAAATAAGCCTGGATGTCCTTTCAAAATGTTTTTTTTCCACGCAGGAGCGGATGACAACTCCTTAAATAAGCCTGAATGTCCTTTCGAAAACACACTTTTAGAGTGGTAGTCATTGAATGTGAACTCCACCCTTACCTGAATGCAGATGATGAATGTAAGAAATAGTATATCTGATATTGCCTGGTGATGTCTGTTACTGCAAAGCTGTGTTTTTATGGTTTATTTTGGAATGTACATCTCAAAATTTTTGCTGAGTCAAAAATTTTCCAGGGTCGGGGGGAAAATGTAGTGTTATGCTTACATACATACTTACATATCATTTTACACTATTTTATTTTTATTTTTCCATTCTGTTTTTGATTTTCTACATTCACCTCAAAACTGGATATTTTGCATCACCTTTATTTCCATAGGATCCTGTAATATTTTTAATTCATAAGAACACAATAACAAATCATTTTCACTTCGTATTTTCACGTTATCAGCACTTTTTAAATCGGTGTCAATGGAGTCTACCTTTTTCGATCTTTTATTTAGTTCTCCGTAACTCTACAATTTCGGGTTTCGTGCGCGCTCTTGCGCTACCTTTTTTCCTATATAAATAATATCTCATTTTTCACTTAAATCTTGCCGTTTCTGTATTACGAGCTTAAAACCAAAATTTGACATGTTTTGACATCGTTGTTTATCTGGTTGTCGTGGCAATTTTTATTCAAATATTGTTACCGGCCTGATGTTTTTACTTCAAAAATACTCTTTTCTTCTTGGCCATTTACAAAAATTTGCTTTTAATTTAAATAATTTCAAATAATTTCTCGTTCTTATCCCAGATCCGTCAAAAAGTATAAAAGCCGAAGAATCGGCCGATAGAGGTCCTCACTTCAGCTTTGATACGAGAAGCACCTCTTAAAGGCTTTATCCGCACTGCCTCGGGATCTTGCAAGCCTTCTCCTGAAGTCGTCGCCTAGCCACGCCTACGCCTCCACCTATTAGTGCCCGCGCTATCTTCGGCCGCTGAGCGTGTTTGTCTCAAGCGCTGCGTGTTCCTACTCCAGACGCTGCGTGTCTACTCCGGACGCTGTGTGTGTCTACTCCGGACGTTGTGTTTGCCTACTTCAAGCGCCACGTGTACCTACTCCAGACGCTGCGTGTCTACTCCGGGTGCTGCGTGTATCTGCTCCGGGCGTTGCGTGGGCCTACTCCAAGCGCTGCGTGTACCTTCTCCAGACGCTGCATGTGCTTTCTCCAGATTCTGCGTGTACCTAGAGCAGGCGCTGCGCACCTATCATAGGCATAGCCTGTGCATACTTCGTTGCAGTATCTTTATTTTTGTTATTTTTTTTTAATAATATTGTAAATCACTATCATCATTACAGCCCATCATCACCTTCATACCTTTTTTTATAAAAGAAACTGTAAATCTTTTCAAATTTTTAAATAATTTATTTTATTTTTGGTTGTTTTGTTGTAGTTAGGTTAGGTTATTTAGTTTTTAATTGTCGCTTCACGACAAAGAAACCATCGCTTCTTACTGGTCAGCCACCGCAAAGTCCATTTCACCTGAAGATGCCCCGTTTAGAGGCTAAACACGCGTCGTGTAATCGATGGTGGTATGTCTTTCCTAGTGTAATTGTGTTGCGATTAGTGGTGACGGGAATAGTGCACGCAATTGAGGGAGAGCGGGAGTTGCTCTACAAATTAGATAAGACACTCATCATTTTATTTTATTACGCGGATCATGGCTAATTCTAACATCTTTAATTTAATGGATTTTAGCAAAGTAACGCCTGATTCTATTCATTTTTTAACTTTTATTTATTATAATACAAATGTCATTCATTCAACACGATTTTAATTTAATTTTAAATATTTTCATTTTTAGATAGGTTTAGTTTAGTAGCTTTGAACTTAATAATTAACGAAAAATTTCTACAAAAAATTTTCCTGTTCCTTTAACAACACAGAATATGAAAGGATGGTTATCAAACAGACCAACTGTTTTATAAGATAGTATATAAAAGTTAATTCTTTTAAGGAAAACGTAGACCCAGATTGGATTGGTGGAGCTGCTGTTAAACAAATTGCTCATTATGGACAAAACATTAGAGATAAAGCTTTCACAAGATGGAACTATGGTCTAGAGAAAAATGTTAAACTATATGGATCTGAAACTCCTCCCAGTTACAATTTAAGTTTAATAACGGTAAATACTACTTTACATTATGCGACAGCTGATACGATAGTGGACGAAAGAGATGTGTTAGCTATGGCCAATGATATGCCGGTTACGAGTGCGCGAAAAGTGAAAAGGGAAAATTTTTCACATATAGAATTTACCTCATCGAAAGATACAAAGGACTTGATAACAGATTATATAATTGAAGCAATAGCTATGGCACAGTAAGTATTTTAGTAAAGTATTTTTAGTAATGTTTAGTAATTAAACTTATTGACCTTATACTATACTATCTATAGATAAGTAAAAAATAAAACAACTAAACATTTACATGAGTTAAAATACATTATCAAGATTCTCAGATTAATCCCAAAATGAAGTTATTTTTTCTTTCTTAATTACTAAAAATGTCTTTATGACACTGTACGCAAATTTTAAATTGTAGTCATCATTTTACAATGCAAAAATACCATGACCTTAGTATATATTATAATTGTGTATATTGAAATTGAATAATTATTGTGAAAAAATATTAAAAAAATATTGCGATGACTCAACTCAGACGAACAAGAAATCAAACTGTATGTTACGTTTTCAGGAAAACTATAGCAAACGTTATGATTAATTCAGAGAAAAAGAATCAAGAAGATAATGAAATTGAAGACGAATCGTCTGCTTCAGGTTCCGGTTACAATCCTGGAAATACGTTTAAGTTATATCTCACAGCACTTAGCTTATTAGGACAAAATTTCATAAATAAACAAATTTAATATAATCACTAAGATAATATTTTTATTAACAATTTTTTAGTACTTATATAATACCGTGTGAATGGTCTAGTTTGAAATATCTAGGCGTGTATTGTAAGCTTTAAAGGACTTAATACATTTCAAAATTATAACGAACACTGCAATATTTGAACTTTGCAAACTGTTAATGACAAACTGCAAAGCGAAACCCCAACTTAAGCGTGTACTAAACACGCATTTAGCATAATGATTTCTTATATTTACGCGAACACTACACATTGAAATAATACTAGTTTTTACGGAATTTATCGCGTATATTTAACTTTTTAAATACCCGACGTTTCGAACGCTTTACAGCACTCATGGTCACGGGCAGTCCTGCCTGCTGCGGTATTTAAAAAGTATACGCGATAAATTCCGTAAAAACTAGTATTATTTCAACGCATTTAGCAGTTATTAAAAAAAATATTTTATAACTTTCCTTAATGACATCTCTATTGTCGTAATATATTTTTAAAACTAATATAAACTTATAATAACTAACTGTAAAATGTCAATGTAAGTATCGAACAGTCACGATTTTTTGTTCTACGATAGCAAAAAATATTCAAGTAATAAATTAATCATTTTTAAAAATGGTGTGACTATGGAGTGTAGAGGTAAGGAGAACAGACTGTGTATTAAAAAGTGTCCATAGAATAGCGTTAAATAAGGGTAGCGACACTGTAGCTAGAGGGTACATTTTAAAGAAGTTTTTATAACATTTTATTACACAGACTTTTATTACCATACTACTATCATAATTCTTTTTATAATAATTATTTTATTGTTTTCAAAATTTTTATTTTTAAATTCACTCTCAACGTGTTTCACGGTGACTTTTTCTAGGTTACATTTAACAAATTATTTTAGTCAACGTGAGTAGTTGCGGTTTTAAATACTCCATTTTCATCAACAGTCACAACAAATATTATATTCCTCAACTCAACACATTTCACTCCGTCGACAACCGCTAAGTTCATTTCATACCCCCTAGCTCTACTTCATTGCTGTTGTAGAGAGTTTTTAAACTATAATATACTGCTTAAAGATGGACACTTTTTCAACTATTCTCCTATGTGAGTTTGTTCTCCTTACTATAGGTACACTCCATGGGTGTGACTGACACACACACCTTGGGCAAATTAGATTTTCTATTACAAATCGTCGATTTTTCTCCAACGATGAAACTGACGCTGTAATGAGCCATGAGGATGAACTTTGATAACCAAAACTGCCTTAGATTGTGGTCGAAATACGCATTTTAGCGTTATAACAAATTTTATTTAATACATTTCATTAACGGTGTTATACACCTCTTTAACGATTTTGAGCCGGGTTTCGAACCCCAAACCCCTTAAACAGTCGCACTTACGTCCACTAGATCAAAGAGGCACATATCTAAATCGTATATAGAACGCATCTTACGAAATTTAATGAAGTACAATATACGAGTACGTTAGTTACCGACTAGCGTCATGCACTGTTCGCTTACATTTCGTCGCCTCGCGTTTCATCGAAGAACAATATTGCGACGATTTATTCATTCTCAAAGCCATATATCTCTCTCGCACAGGTCGTCGCAGCATCATTGAAATGAAAATTGCTTTAAAAGAGTTCAGCGTATTTTTTTCTTTGGAGAATTTGAACATTGCTCTATTACCACTCATAATTTCGTGCTGAAAAATTTAATTAAAAGAAAATATTATTTACGACTACAATATTTTGTCCAGGTACTCGCCGAAGGTTAATGTAGTATTTTAGTTGCTTTTTTAATAAAATAAAGAAAATGTAGTTAACTATTTCAATTTTCCTAATTGATCTTTAAAAAATTCTAAATTACCGTCAAACGATGCATATATTGAAAGGTATATAACTATTAACCCGTTTTGGCGTTATAATGGAGCCGTGAAAACTGTCAACAGAAGCTTGCACGTAACCATTAAAGCAAGACCTTTGTTCCTTATTACACGCGCACACCAGGTGTACTGTTATAGGAAAGTGTTAAAGGTGAAGCAAAGTTCTTTTCTCCTGGTCAACTTAAATGACCGTAGCAGCTATCAGTACTATTAAATGGATAAGTACCGCAAACTCCGTACCCGGGTTCTAATGAAGGAAGCATTGAAGGAAGGCCGTTTTATAAACAACATGTGTAGTGGTTTTCACATATGAAAATGACATAGTTGTGCTTACGGCGTTATTTCTAAATTTACCTTAAGTTAAATTTCAAATTCAAATAGTTGGTTTGGCATAAGCCCCCCCCCCCCCCCCTTAGAAACGCAACAAACTCCCCACAAAACTACTGCATCTCTTGGGTCTATATCAAGTGGGGGGCCGCACTACACTACGCTTACTATTTATCGGTTCTTCGAGTTATATGGCTGGCTCGTTGGCACTTGAGCTTGCTGAACCATAAGGTTATGTGAGTTACTCTGGTTCTACTGCAGATATATTTTTTAATAAATCTATTACGCAGAGAAATTTTGAGCGTAGCCCTCTACATATCTCGCTGAGCGAATTTTAGCTGCCTAATTCCAATAACAATATTTTGACGCTCGATTTTTCTTTATTGCTTGTTTGTTGCTTAACGTTAAATTGGACTGACATGTCACAACTGATCGCTACTCAAAATATATTTATGATTTATAGTTTTTTTAAAGCGTTTTATTGTATTTCTCCATGTAAAGTTGCCACACCTCTTGCGACACCAACAAAGAGAAATGGGGGAATAGATTTTCTCACATCGTCACCACATGGTTACACTTTAACACTTCGGCTAATATCATCATCATCATCATAACGGCTCGCGTATGTTCGGTGGACTTTCACATGTCTACTGAACATATGTCTACACCAAAGAATGCCATAAAACACGGCCCTGATTCACCTAAAATATAAAAAGATAGGGCAAATATAAAACATTTAAAATAGTTATCATATTATCCGTTTTGTCTGTTAATGAGTACAATGAACGCTGCGCAGGTCAGAGCACGTTTGTGTAACGTATGTTTTTAAAACAACAGACTGCCTACTTTCCAGGTGCACTCAATGTAGGGCAGATAATAATTGACATATATCTAAGGCTACAATATCCTTTTAGTATTAAGTAACAGTGTAGTAGTAGTAAATATTATGTTTGTAGGTCAAATGAGTCATTGTAATTCAATGTTGATATGTCGTATGGTGAGTGTAGAGAACCGGAGTCCATTTAACTGGAAATCATTTTAATTCTCAGGGTTGACAAGATATTTGTATTTTGATTCTTAATCGAGGATATATGTATATGTCTATAGGCCCCAGCATCCACTTATAATCTGTGTGGTGAACTGTGTGCTCGTATGTACCCGCTATTCTATAAAAAATCTTCAGTCGAATCTCAACGCCTTTTAAATAGGCTTGTAATGATTAAGTTAAGTTAGATGACTTAAAATGCGCATTTACTAATCTCTATCCCACCTACCTAAATTATATATATATATATATATATATATATATATATATATATATATTTATATATATATTATAGTGTTGTTTTACCTGAAACAAAGATATCCATATTATTAATTAATATACTTGCGTAAATTAATTGACATAATACAATTTTGTCAATAAATTTTTTTATTTGTAATTTTAAGTGCTGATTTACCACGTGCTCGGCGGTGAACGAAAACGGTGTCAGAGGAATAAGATAAAAATATTTCGAAAACATGTGAAGTTCGCCAACACGCATTGGGGTAGCGCTGCGGACACTTCCTTGCCCTAAAACCCTGTCAAAAATGAGGGGAGGCCTGTGCCCAGTAGTGGGACGTATATAGGCTGTAACTTTACGCAATATCTTTATTAAAAATGTTTACTGATTTTAGAGAATATTTTTCATTATATTGTTAATAATAATAATAGAGCAGTAGTCCCAAAATAAAACAAAGGGTGAAAAACAGGGGAAGTTTTTAAAGTACCTATTTTTAATAGGTGCTAATATACACTTCTTTTCTCCATAGAAGTCCGTCTGGGTAAGCCCTTTTTATTCTATCTTTTTATTCCACCTTTTTATTCTATCTTCGCCATCAAATTGTCGTGCGTAGTCAGTTACCATCAAGTAAACTGTAAGTCAGTTCGTCACTTAAATTTTATAAAAAAAGCAACGACACATGAGCTCGTGATATTGCTTAGTCCATTTAAGATTGAAAACTTAAATTTTTAATAAATCGTTATCAAAGGACTAAAAAAAGTGCCACTACAGTGTGTGGAACAAATAAAGCCTAGATTTTAATTTTAACTGGACTTCGATTACAGGATAATGTCGGTAATTATTATTTATTTAGCAGTGGAGCCTGTCTTCCACTTCATATATTACTTTATCATAATTTTGAGTTCAAAACATCGCGGAGAAAACCTACTTGTATGATGTGTCTGATTATGAATTAAAACACCAACAACAATCATTACAGTGCCTGACTGTTCCTTAACTCAAAACCTGCTTAGAAATGAAAGGAGTCTTAAAAAATATGTTAGTTGTAACTTTTGGGGTTTAGTGCCGACATGGTCAATGGTAAATTAAAATATCAGAAAGCATTTATTTACAGAAAGAAAATAACATAAGATAAACGTCCATTTATGGGTCATGATTTAAAAACAACACTATCCAGTTTTTTGCTGTACATATCTCATATCATCATATCATTATAGCTCTTCCACAGTAGTAAAAGAGAACTCGCAAGAGTCAATTAATTGAAAACTTTATGTTATTTCAAATTCCATATGACGTCAGCCCGCAATTAAATCTCAGAGTACAATATTGTAACTATTCATTCAAAGACACATTTCCCCCGTGCAGACCTAAGCGGCTACGTCGAAATGGAAATTTGCTTCAATAACTCACATGATACCAATCTTAATGCAAAGCTATAAACTAAGCTTTACTACATAATATATCAGTGACTTATGTACAACAAATCACTGCGACTTTTATTCAACAATAGGGT